TATTTTCAGTTTCACTAGGCAACTTTCGCATCATCGCCCTCTCCTGAGCCTTTGGGGCTGACCCACCTGGCCGGACACGAAGCATGCGCTCGAGGCCGCGGTCGCGCACCCGGACTAGAAGTTCCAACAGACAAGAGCCCGCGCATGATATCCGATTAGAGCGGATAATGAAGTCATTGCACCATGTGCCACTCTCCCGAGCGCTCGCCCTTCCTAGGGATGATAGCTTGAGCAAGCAGGACAAGGGGCAAGCACACTGCACTGCCGCCCTTCGATGAAGACTTTGACTATCTTGCACGCAGCGCACTGCAAGTAAAAGTGTGAATAGTACAACAAATGTACAACAAAAACTGTACAATAAAAGTACAACATGAATTGTAGAAAGTACGACGAGAACTGTACCAACCACAACGAGGCGTGGACTGCACAGCACTCGTCATGCCGGTTCCATTGTACTTTGTACAACAATTGTTGTACTTTGAAAGTACAATAAAAACCTGATAAAAAATTTGCCAGAATTTTGTGTACTTTTGTTGTGGTTTTTTCTTGCAGTGCGGTGTGCAAAGCGGCCTTTCTCAATCTGGAAGCGATCGAATGTGCCCAGTGCCCACTTTCGATTGGAAATTTGGATATAGGCAAAACAACCAAGCTAGCTGAAATTTTAGAGATGTTTAAAATGTAGGTAATTACTTGTAATTAGTAATAATGTATACACTCTTGAGCTGAGTGGTGGAACCCACCCCTCGGGCCCAGCGGACACTTGTAAACGTAAACATGATTAATGACGCATTTTTAAGCGTGTACCAAGTAGACAGATAAGTTCGTCGAATGATTAGCATCATCTGTGCGTCTGTGCGTTGGAAAAGCCTTGTCATTACAAATCTTGCCTCGTGATTTCAGACTCGCACACTGTAAATGTCTTACGGTGAAAGGCTGCACCAACATATTATGGTGGGAATTTTCTCCATAATACCCACAAAATTCGTCAAAATATCTATGAGGTACAGTGAATTCTCAATGGTATGTTACGAGGTCAGCTGCACCACCATAATATGGAACATTTTCACCATAATATGGAGAATCTTCACTGTAGAACATTTAGAGTGCACAATGCATCCACCCACTTGAGGCGTGGTGGGGGCGAGCGGGTAATCCGGGAGATATCGGGGGTTTCGCAAGAAGCGCTCAGCTACGTTATCTAGACGGTCTGTACGACGGAACCAAGGTGACCGACTTGACTGTCCCAGAGTCCTTGACATTTTATTGGCTCACCTTCAGTTCATCCATGCTGTACTTCCTAGTGTAAGCGGAGGCCCTGTTATGCTACGAATGTGACGTCGTGACATTGTCGCGTTCGAACGAACGTTCGTTTGAATACACTGAAAATCAAATAGGGATACATATCACTCTCAGAGGGGTGAGACAGAACTGTCACCGAAAAAGGATGATAACTTACTAAAGTGTATCACCGAAAAAAAAAGTCGTGCACGAATGTATCACCGAAAAAAGGTCGTACACAAATGTCTCACCGAAAAACAGGTCGTACACGAGTATCATAAAAAAAAAGGTCGTGCACAAATGTCTTACCGAAAAAGGGTGATACTTCCCCAGGAAAACTAGTACCGATTTGGTTTTCACCTAAAAAATTGGATAGTGTATGCTCAAAATGCAGGTAAAGTGGGTCAGCTCGTGACGGACTTCGGATATTTGAAATGAGAAGAAGTGCACTGTTTCTTGTTTGACGGCCACTACGCATTGTGAAAATGTTGACCTCTCCGTCTATGTTGGGCATGGCTTTTCCCATCAAATACGTTGTATTCTAATGTCACGCTACGAAACGACGTGACTCACATGTCATGCCGATTTTCGGCGCGACGTTTCTCTGTCACGTCGACCTTTAACGTGACTTTTTGTCACGCCATAATTTGGCCAAATTTGGCCACGCCGTGTACAGTGGGTCTACCGCTTCCAGTGTGGGCAGAGCCGTATATTGCCCTCTGGCCTAACCTGCACTGTTAAAAACTTCCGTTCTTGGGTACCGAAAAAAAAATACGGACGTGCGGAATATGAATCGAGGACGGGAGCACTGAACACAGAGCAGAACGTCCGTAGTTGCTCCACATTAACTCACGTGGGGTCAGTTGGGGTAATTATGGGACACGGGCTAGAAGTTGGACAGCTGTTTCTTGGTCAAGATTTGGTATTTTGGAACTCATGCAATACCAAATGTTATTTTCACAAGCATCACATTCGGAATGACATGATTTCTAAAAATATCAAATCTTGACCAAGAAACAGCTGTCCCATTTACAGCCCGTATTCCATAATTACCCAAACTGACCCTAAGGGTCGGACAACAAGTTCGGTCCAGGCAATGACCAGACCTTTTCCCGCTCTTTTTTCTCCCAGTGAACACGTTGCTGGGTACTTACCGCCTTCCGTGCGGCCGTGACCGCGTGGGGACCCACCTGGGGACACGCGGACGCGCAGCGCGCCGCAGACTGATTCCCAGCGGCACTTTCGTCGCTCTGTCCCTCTCGCCCTCGCGGGACCCACCGTATGCGTGCGAGAGAGACAGAACGACGAGGAATCGGTCAGCTGATAGGCGGCGGCAGCCGCGGCCGCGCGATGACTGGGCGATTTCGGCTGCCGACCGGTGTGGCGGCCGTCGAGCCATTCCGCTGCCCGCACGTATCGCTCCGTCTCTCTCGCACCGCTGCGGCCCACTCCGTGAGTGCGAGAGAGACAGAGCGCGAGCGGCGGAATCAGTGGACAGTGTGGCGCAGTGGTCGTGCCTTTGGCGGCGCCACGGCGAGGCTTGGCCGCGTAGCGCCTCCACCGTAAATGCTGGACCAGGCGCCGGAGTGCTGACTCAGCCGCTCTTTCCCCACCGCTTCCAGGAGACTGGTTCCGAGACACGTTTTCGTCGCTCCGTCTCACTCGCACTCGATGCCGTCCTGTGCAGGTGCGAAATAGAGCAACGAGAACGACTCGGAATCGGTCAGCGGACGAGTTATTCCGGATTGGTTCGGCGTCCAGGCTGCCGCGTGCCGCGTTGTTTTCATGTGTACACCAATGTTTGCAACGGACGGACGGGACATTTGCGGGTGGCATTGATTGCTTTTGGCCTCTTTTTATGGAATAACGTACACCAAATCGACACCAAGTACAAAATCGCGTTCAAATTTGTACGTACGAACTTTTCGTACGAAAAGTTCATCTGCACAAAAAACTGTGATGTCTCGTGCAAAATTTTCACAAAAACATCCAAGGTGCGTTCGGCACAAATTCGTGCCAAATCCCGTACAAAATTGACACAAAAGCACGTATGCGTAAATTCGTGCGAAGCGACGTACAAATATTCTGCAAAGAAATTTAGTCGTGTAAAAAAATATGGACACAAGTCGAGGGTGCCGAAAATGTTATTTTTATTGCTGCGTTTCCTGAAACTTTCTTTTGCCTGCGGGCACTCCCATTGGAATTATAACGATGCGAATTGCCAGCATTACCGTACATTACCGTACACTGCAAGAAAAAACCACAACAAAAGTACACAAAATTCTGGCAAATTTTTAATCAGGTTTTTATTGTACTTTTAAAGTACAACAATTGTTGTACAAAGTACAATGGAACCGGCATGACGAGTGCTGTGCAGTCCACGCCTCGTTGTGGTTGGTACAGTTCTCGTTGTACTTTCTACAATCCCTGTTGCACTTTTATTGTACAGTTTTTGTTGTACATTTGTTGTACTATTTACACTTTTACTTGCAGTGTATCACGGTCAATAATCCACACCACAATGCTGTCATTCTACATACTGAACATTCATAGAATTTCGTAAGTGTCACTTAAACGGGTTTTGTGAACTCGTGGACTTTGACTAATTAATATGCGTCAAAATGCACTCCTTTATACATATGTTGACCCAATTTTATGCAAAACGTCACACAGGTTTAAAATTATGCAAGGACACGTAAAAAATAGTGCAGAAACATGTAGCGTGTACATAACATTTGTTGCAATGTCTCCACGAAATGAGCCTGGCAAAAAGCCAAAACTTCTTTGGTCGTTTGTAAGTCACGCGGCGTCTCGTTCTGTGTTTTAAGAAGCGGCAACAAATGAGTGGAGGAAACACCACATCGCCTCACAACAAGAAGTAAGTACAACATTGGCGTTTCTGAAATGCAAACATTGATGTGGCAGCATTTGTTTGCTGCCTGTACTGTACACGCACGCAAGAGTCTCCAGGTCGCAGTGGGTCACGTTTCTGCCCCGTCACCCAGGCTAGACGGACATTCTGACTAGCTTGTTTTTTTTTTATCAGCTGGAACGATAAAACCACCCAGGATGGCCCGTTTTCTTTACACTGATTGTCACAAAACGGCTTGGACCGAGAATGCGGTTATGATTGCATGTCTCGGGTATTTCTGAAAGGGAAAGCTGTTTCGATGAGTATTGCAACGGAGATGGAGTGCAACGAAGTAAACACTTCAGGCTATCTCCCTCCGCACACTTAGAAATAATAAGGTGATGATACCGTGCCATTCGGCCTGGGTTCTCAGACTAATCCTTTCAGCGACGCGAACAAGCACTGGGTGGTATTATCGTCAAGCCCTTCTATTCCGGTCCTCAACCGCCGCGCCGCATCAGTTAATGTCTTAATTAATTAACACTGCCCGAAAAAAGAATAAATATACGACCGCTACACGGTAAAATCGGTACGTACCTGGTTTTCCCAGGAAGCCAATGGCAGAGGCATAGGCGATTTCCAGGGAGTTCCTGGGAAAACCAGGAACCGTTTTTATCGTGTAGCTAATAAGCGTATACACTACAAACCTAACTGCCTACTAAGTACACACTTACAAATGCATGCTTGCAAAGTACACACTTACAAACGCATGCTTGACGCCGTATAACTCCATGCGTCAAGCATGCGTTTGTAAGTGTGTACTTGCAAGCATGCATTTGTAAGTGTGTACTTGGCCAAGCATGCGTTTGTAAGTGTGTACTTGCAAGCATGCATTTGTAAGTGTGTAGTTAGTAGACAGTTTGGTTTGCAGTGTAGATCTCAACCTTTCTTTTTCTCATACAAGTGCAAGTCTCTCCAGGGTTTTCCGAGACCAGATGCTAAGCTGCAGCTGCAAGCTGCTGAAAAGTCCGTTTTAACTCCACTTCTTAGTCGCCTCGTTAAAAGGAATTACAGAGCTGGTGCCCAATTTTGTTCACGCCGGCCAGTTGCCTCAGGTAATTGGCACTGCTGTTCTCAGAGAACCAACAATTGGCATTCTTATCTACAGGGGGAAGGGGAGGGGGTCCTCCCGTGACGCCGACTTCTCTTTGTGGAAAACTTTTGACCATGTAGCCATTTTTTTTTTTGTCCGGGACTCTTGAGAAATTTATGGTGCTGAAGGCTTTGCAATTGAATGCCAAAAGCTTAGCTGCAGTTTCTAAATTGCACGTGTGTGCTCGAAGGGATAAATAAGTACATCCAGTCAAGTTTGTACAAGAAAACTCATCAAAAATTTGAAATTCACTGAAATTTATTTAAATTTATCAAAGTTCTTTCCAAAATTCATGGCAGACGCGAATGCCATTTAACAACACTGGCGGAACCCAATCCCAAATCCCCGCCCCTTTTCTCCCATCCAATATTATTTGACCTACATAATTGTAAGTTTTCGTCCAGCCAATGCACGCTCGAGACTATAGTCACAGCCTTGTTTCAGTCTTGTCACTCTTGTTAGAAACCCAGCGCACTAACTTTAATTTGTCCTATTTGTACTTTTGGCAACGCATTTCGTGAGAATATCAATCTATTCCAAGAGGAAATTAAGTCTAATCACCAGTGTTTCCTATTCATGGAGTGAGGCACCTCTAGGAGGAGCACTAACTCTGCACTCGGTGCGGCCCCCTTAAGTGTTGATAATCCAAACGTCCTTTCCAATTTGGGATGAGCAGGACATAATTCTTGGGTGAATTTTCCTTTAAGAGGCACGTTAATTTTTTTTTTCATGGTGCGAATGCGTTTTCTGTTTTCGCCAGGATTCCAAACCCGTTTATGAGTCTGCATGGCGGGTGGCCGACTTCAATTGTTCTCGACGATGTTGGCGGTACACCCGTTATCTCAGGTGCGTTGAACTGTCCTCACTTACACAAGAAAGCAACGCTTGACGCCAAAAACAACGGCATTTCACCAAATACGGTTGAATTTATGACAAACTTTAAATTTGTAAAGGAGCGAAATCGTGTGAACAGACTGCCAGCCGGGGCGCAATGGTTTTCCACCCGTTCGGTAATATGTTCATCAAGAGAGACGTCTGTTGGGAAACGCGAGAAAAGACATGCGTAAGTAAAAGATGTGCACTGTTACAAACACGTCCGGAGCATTCGGAAACATTACTGAAACTTTTGATGTAACTCAACGTCTCGTGAGCTTCAGGTGAAAGTTACAACTTCAACATTATTGGGCATCTCACTCGTGTAAATCTTGTCAGAATGTCAGAAACCTATCTGAAAACCTGATCAAAATTCGCGTACCTCTGAAAGCTGAAAACATCTCTTGACGGTCTGTAGAACTCAAACCATCAATATCAGATTAAGTTTTCAGAATTTCAGCTTATAGAGGTGCGCGAATTTTGATCAGGATTTCAGACATGTTTCTGACATTCTGACAAAATTTACACGAGTGCTTTGAAATAAGTACACAATGAATATTTAAGTATAATTTTGTACGTGATACTCGTACGATTTTGCGCTTACGTCGAATTTGCCTAATATTAGGAGCAGAAATACATAAATTTGTGTTAATTCGAGCACAATGAGATGCAAAACATTACACAGGTTTAAAATCATGCAACACCTACAAAATTGTATGAGGTGTTGCATGATTTCAAACCTGTGTAATTTTTTGCATCGAATTATTCTTATATTTACATAAATTTATACATTTCTACATTCTGGGCAAATTTAAAACGAGCCGCTTTGAAATAATTTACCCCGACCTGACCCAACCTGAGCATGTTTGACCCGATACCCCCGACGAATTTTGCCCCCTTCCCCGCCCGAATTTGCCTTTAATTTAGCCCGCAGAAATCCCCATAATTTGTGTTATTCCGAGCACAATGAGTCAAATCTAAACACGGGGCTCAAACTCATGCAACCCTCAAAATTTGGGGTTGGGTGGTGCATGGGGTTTCAACCCTGTGTCAGGTTTGGGCCATCGGGGCTCATCTATTGGCTAAATTTATACGGGCTCACCTATATGCCGCAAATTCCACGTACGCACAAAATCGCGTAAAGAACCCTGATCACCGGTCATGTCCCACGCATGCCCCTCCCTGTAGGTAGGCAACCTACCATTTGTCATCGAATTGATAAACAAGCCCTGGCATGTCCCCACCATCGCGGCCTGGAGCCACGCTAACACTCCTCCTTCCCCCTCTCTCTTTTTCACGCGTCCTACCGGAGATCCCTTCCCACTCCACCAGCGTAGCGTCGAGTTGCTCGAGGGTCAGCCGTGCGGAGCACCTCAGATAATCGGTGCAGCTCACCGCGTTCGCACGTCCGTCGACCAAAAGAGCGCGACCGGGGGACGTTTCTTTTACTCTGATTTCGTGAATTTTCAAGTAAGTCCATCCTACCTACCGCTCGGACGAAAAAAACAACGCCTCTGCCTGTTTTTCATTTCGTTTTCAACAGAAAGATGTTCATATTCCTCCTTTCATTCGCATTCTTTCTCCTCGCCACTCTCATTTTCCTCCTGCCCTCCCTTCTCTCTCTCTCTCTCTCTCTCTCTCTCTCTCTCTCTCTCTCTCTCTCTCTCTCTCTCTCTCTCTCACGCCTACCTCTTTTTGAAACGGCGGCGGTGTGACCGGAAACTGTAAACTCCGAGTGGGCGTGCCGTGCTAGTCGGATGAGACGAATCCGCTTCTTAACGTTGCACTCTCATTCCAGGAACGTGACATCACGTTGAAACGAACGTGACAAAATGTCACGTTCGTTTGAGCATTGTGTCACATTCGTTTGGGTGTGAATTGGCCAAAAATCAGCTTGTTCACATTCAAACGAACGTGACACAATGCTCAAACGAACGTGACATTTTGTCACGTTCGTTTTAACGTGATGTCACGTTCCTGGAATGAGAGTGATGAACCGCAATTTTTGTGCTTTTTTTCCTTTTCCATTTTTTTTAGGGGATGGGTGTTTGTCTTTTAAAGAAGGTAAAGGCGTCGTGAGTGTGCGCGTTAGTTGCAAACAATGATTATCTCGGATAAAAAACAAACATCTTATTACGCGTCTCTGCTCTGCTCGTTTTTCTTGGCTTAGCAAAAGCAAAGCCACTTTGCGTTCTTTTTTTTTTTAAAGGTGTTCAAAAGATTTTGACTGTTTGTTGTCTATTTGTTTAAGACTTTGCAGAGATCATTGCACATGCATTTGGCTCGCAATGCACCTGATTTCAGCTTACATCCCCTGTTCATTCAGACGTACAAATTGAAATAAAATAACATTTTGAAGCCCAAGTTTTGTTTGGAGAATGTACATCAAACTTTTCACTCGCAGATTCGTATTGAGTTTTTGTTAAATAAAGTATTGGCGTTTGCACTGGTAAAACTTAGGCCTCTTTGAAGCGTACTAAAGGCTGGAACGCCCTGCTTCAAGCGTAGAATTTTGTAGCCAGGTCAGAAATTCTTACGGCCTGGTTCAAGCGTAAAGTCAGTACGCTCAATTGCATGAAGCTAAGATTTTATCCTAAAATAAATTGAGCTGGTTTTGCATGGTGAATGTGCGCATTCTCCTGCGCTTGCAAAATGGAGCATGTGTTTTGAGTACGCTTGAAACTGAGCGTACTCATTGTGCTTGAAGCAGGGCGTAAGAATTTCTGACCTGGCTTTAGTACGCTTGGCTTCAAGCGTAGCTCTTCTTACGCTTGACGTCAAGCGCAGGAGTACGCTTCAAGATTTTACGCTTGAGGACAGGCGTAATACTACGCCTTAGTTTTACCAGTGTTTCCATGTTGACCTTAGACACACAGTGTCCAGACTTTTGAGCCAGCTTCGATGGCTGGCCCAGCTGTTAACCAGCCGACCTCTCTCTCTCTCTCTCTCTCTCTCTCTCTCCCCCCCCCCCACCTGGCACGTGGTCTCACTCAGTTTTTCACATGCGCTTTTCGTACAAATTTGTACGAAAAACTTCGTGTGTTTGAAATTGTGTCAGACCACGTTCAAAATTGTACAAAGACATTCAGCATGTACGGCGGCATGGGCTTCGAACGCAATTATTGGTGCTTTTGTTAGTGTGTACCCGCCGGCATGATAACAAATCAAGACCTTGAGGGACCTTGCGTGACGTAACGAGAGGCGCGTGCTGCCCCGCCAATTGCAGGTCTTGTGGAGTCGATTGGGCGGCCTAGTCCGCGGGGGCCGCTTCGCTTGGCGCTTCCCGACCGACTCACGCCGTGACCGCGCGCGGTGTCCCCGTCCCTCTCCAGCGGAGGTTCCTGACCCCGACCACTGCTCTTGGACAATGGGAACGGCTGACTCCGGCCACACACTGAAAAATATTGTCGTCGTTTTACGGCAAATTTGGCGATGAATGCTTCGTTTTTTTTTTAAAAAAAAAAAGGCTCGTTTTGTGCTCACTACGAAAAAAAATCACAAAAGATGAACCTTTAGTATTTCTCATGAAAAACGTGCCTGAAAATGTCCGAAAGTTCTTCAGATTTTACGATCCCAGGAAGCCTATGGTAGAGACATATGTGATTTCCAGAGAGCTCACACGAAAACCAGGAACCGTTTTTATCGTGTGCAGTTTCAGTCTCATTCCAGGAACGTGACAACACGCAGAAACGAACGTGACAGAATGTCACGTTCGTTTGAGCGTTGTGTCACGTTCGTTTGAATGTGGATAAGCTTATTTTTGGCCGATTCACATCTAAACGAATGTGACACAACGCTCAAACGAACTTGACATTCTGTCATCTTCGTTTCAACGTGATGTCACGTTCCTGGAATAAGAGTGATTTTCGTACAAAAATTGTACATGAAGTTTATTTGTTCAAAAAAAAGGACTGTGATGTCTCGTATTGTGCCTGACATATATAGTGTGTTTGAAATAATAAGTTCATCATCACACTAGGAATCACTCTTAAAAGCCTACGAAGGATTTGCTTCATAACTACGAAGAAAGAAAATGAAGGCATTGTAGGATTTCTTCGTATTACGAAGAAATGCTTCGTATTACGAAGGATTTTGCTTCATAATACGAAGCATTTCTTCGTAGATTTTACAATGCCTTCATTTTCTTCGTATTATGAAGCGATTCTTCGTAGAGTTATTACTGTGATAACGGTGTGCTGCCTGTTCCTTTGCCGCAGCGCGCCGCCATGTCGGTCCTGGCCGCGTCGTTCGTCCTGGTGACGCTGTGCACGCTCCTTTACGCCTTCATCCGCTACCGCCTGTCCTACTGGCAGCGACGCAAGGTGTTCTTCGTGCCGCCAAGCGCACCGCTGGGCAACTACGGCCCCTGCTTCCTGGGCAAGAAGGGGCTCTCCGAGACCATGGCGGGCATCTACCGCGAGCACCGCGACGAGCGCTACGTCGGCACGTACTTCTTGCTCACGCCGCTGCTGCAGCTCCACGACCCGGAAATCATCCGCCAGGTCTTCATCAAGGAGTTCCAGGTGAAAGGACGCACCCGATGTCACGCTTGATGTCAACGTACAAGTTTGAACGAGAAGTTGAAAGTTTTTCGTGGTATGGACAACATCGAGTGTGCAGCTTACTCCACTAGAGCACGGTATCTTGAAGTGTGGACTTGGTCCTCACTTAAATTAGCAGTGTAAACAAAATCCCGTTCGATTTTTTTTTCAAGTTTATCTCAACAAGAGACTGTAAAGTACGTCCCGTCCAAAATTTGTTCAGTCACACTTTAAAGATTGGTTGTCAGCTCACGACAAAGTCCAGGCTAATTTTCGACACAAGAACTCGTGTGAATTTTGTCGTGAGATATACATGTCTGAAATTCTGATTACAATTCGTGCACCTTTGCTAGGTAAAATTCTGAACTCAGGCTTAAATTGATGGCCGAGTGTCAGAATAAGTTTTCAGCTTTCAGAGGTGTGCGAATTTTGATCAGGTTTTCAGACAGGTTTCTGATGTTCTGGATTTACGCGAGTGGAGTGATGTCATCAAAACGATTGGTGACACTGACAGAGGAGCTTCGATGAAAATGTCATCAATTCGTAATGGGATTGCTATCATTTGAAAGTGACAAGGGGGAAACAACTAGAAATTTTGGTGTACATTTTCCTGGAAATAACGTTGAAATAACATAAAATAACGTTGAAACGACATTCAAATAACGTAGTAACGAGAAATAACTTGAACTTTGAAACTAAGGTGTACCCAATTTTTCGAAGTTGTTTTCGAAGTTCCGGTGACACCAGTACAAAGTGGCAACAAATTTCTACAGTGTACGTTACAAGTCACTTCCTTGCCGGACAGGACTTCAACGGGCGCGGCAACTACTGCGACCCGGAGGCGGACCCGCTGTCCGGCCACCTCTTCATGCTGGGCGGCCAGCCGTGGCGCAACATGCGCGTCAAGCTGAGCCCCACCTTCACCACGGGCAAGATGCGCTCCATGTTCAACACCATCAGCGAGTGCGCCGGCTTCCTCCGCGAGCACATCGAGGCCTCCATGAAGGCGGCCGGCGGCGGCTACGAGGAGGACGTCCGCGAGCTGGTGGCGCGCTTCTCCACCGACGTCATCTCGTCCGTGGCCTTCGGTAAGTCCCAGCGAGAAACGCAAACCGAAGAGCGCATATGGTTGACTCTTCTGGACAGTCGACCTGCACACTATATGTTTTTGCGAGGGGCCAACCACTCGAGAAATCCTGTGTCGCCTACACTGCAAGAAAAAACCACAACAAAAGTACACAAATTACTGGCAAATTTTTTATCAGGAATTTATTGTACTCTCAAAGTACAACAATTGTTGTACAAAGTACAATGGAACCGGCATGACGAGTGCTGGGCAGTCCCGGCCTCGTTGTGGTTTGTACAATCCCTGTTGTACTTTTATTGTACAGTTTTTCTTGTACTTTTGTTGTACTATTCACACTTTTCCTTGCAGTGTAGAGCCCTGGAAATCTCTGGATCCGAAATTTCTCCCCTAAAAAGCCAAAAATAGGCCGTCTTCACGCTTAGAAGTGGTCGAAATCCGACGAAATCTCTTGTATTACAGCACTGTGGCAAAAAGCTACGAAAAATTCTGTAAACAGCTTGTGATAATTCTCCGTAGGCTCTTACAGTATTTTCCGTAGGACCGCACAGTATTCTCCGTAGGACCGCACAGTGATCTCCGTAGGACTGTACAGTCTTCCAGGTCCTACGGAGAAGACTGCGGTCCTACGGAGAATACTGTACGGCCCCACGGAGAATACTGTAAGAGCCTACGGAGAATGTTGATAAGATGGCTACGGAGAACCCTGGCAAAAAAATTAACAGAATTTTCCGTACCTTTTTGCCACAGTGAGAAGGTACTGAGAACTAGCTCAGTATTATGACTGCACGGCATTTCTCAGTAGTAAATTTGGAGTGTGCTTTGTTATGACAAGCTGCTTTTCTTTATGAGACCGGTACTCTCAGGGTGGGCAGTAACAAATCTGCGACTCCCTAGGTATCGAGAGCAATTCGATGAAGAACCCCGACTCCGAGTTCCGGCGCATGGGCCAGGCCGTGTTCGACCCCTCCCTCGAGGTCAACATCCGCACCCTGCTCACCTTCTTCGGGCGCGACATCATGAAGGCCTTCAGCATCCGCTCGACGCCCGGCGCCATCCACGACTTCTTCACCCGCATCGTGGACGAGATGGTGTCCTACCGCGAGACCAACAAGGTGGAGCGCGCCGACATGCTCAACCTGCTCATCAAGCTCAAGAACGACGGCTTCGTCCCCCCGGACAACTCCACCGACGAGAAGGATAAAAGCGCTGGTGAGAACGATATGACTGGTGTGGAAAGTATGACTGGTGAGAGAAGTGTACGACTTCACTCTGAAAATTTGTTGTCACTTTATGACAAAATCGTGGATGATAATTTCGTCACTTTCCAATGACGACAATCTCATCACAAATTGATGACATTTTCATCAAAGCCCCTATACTTATTGCATGCACACTAAATGTTAACATAATTATGTTCCATTTTGTACGAGGCATCACAGTATTTTGTGCACACGAACTTTTCATAAATTTCGTACAATAACCTGCACGTATTTCCCCATTTTTGAGCAAAATTGCGTACAAATTTGTACGAAAGTTTCGTGTGCACAAAAAACTTTGAAGTCTCGCATAAAATTTGTACAAAAACATTAAGTATGTGGGCGCCTTGAAATTGTCATCAAGTGACGACTCAAATTATCAGTGGTGAGAGGGATGGGACTGGTGATGAAGATATGACTGGCTGACAGGTGAGAAAAGATCAAAAAATATGTCTGGCCAAAAAGGCATGACTGGTGACGGGTGAGAAATAGAATATGAGAGGCGGGAAAGATATGACTGTTTAGGAATAGGTTACTGACCAGTGAGGTCAGTAAGAAGGCCGCCCCGGATAGCCAGCACCGCACCAGGGGGCAGCAACGCTACACTGCAAATCCAAGTGTAGGACAGGTCGACACTTTAAAGCGTAGACCAGTTTGTCCTACGCTTGCAAGTGTCGACCACTTGTGTCCGACGCTTTGAAGTGTCGACCACTCAGTGTCCGACGCCTGCAAGTGTCGACCACAGCATGTCCGACGGCTGAAGTGTGGGGCCACAATAGGAAACTCAGTGTAATTTGCCGTAGGACAAACAGTGTCCTACACATTCAAGCGTCGGACAGAGTGTGGTCGACACTTCAAAGCGTCGGACACAGCTGGTCGACACTTGCAAGCGTAGGACAAACTGGTCTACGCCTTAAAGTGTCGACCTGTCCTACACTTGGATTTGCAGTGTAATGGCTAGGCTGGGGGCCGCTGCGCGAGACCGGTACATAGCCAATTGGGGGGCCTTCTCGAGAACCGTCGCGTGTAATTTCGATTTTTCACAGCATAACTAAAGTTAGCGCATTTTACGGTGTAGTAGGACTGCTAGTCTCTTGGGAAAAGCCAATTGCCGAAACTCAAAAATTCAAATTTAAAAATGGCGGGAAAACTGCTGAACTACTTTGACTGCTCCCCATTGATAGACGGTGCAACGAATCGGTGTGCCACATCTCCTAATACACAAAATGAACCTTTATTTCTAAGACCGCGTGACGGGAGGTTGAAGGAAAGCGACCGTCACTGAGCATTAGGGCCCCCCGATTTCCGTGTTTTGCGTGGTCTCGCGGATCGCCCCCACACCAGCCATTCGCGTTGCAGCCCCCTGACAGCACGCTGTCCCACCCAAGCGGGTGAAGTTGTCCGCGTGGGGCTAGGTAAGCCCAACAAAAGACTGATCCGGCCCACACTCTTAAAAGACTACGAAGGATTTCCTTCATAACTGCGAAGAAAATGAAAGCATTGTAGAATTGCTTCGTATTACGAAGCAATGCTTCGTATTACGAAGGATTTTGCTTCATAATAGAGGCATTTCTTCGTAAATTTTACAATGCCTTCATTTTCTTCGTAATACGAAGCGATTCTTCGTAGAGTTTTTACTGTGCTACCATCGATATCTGACCACCAGGGCTGTGACTGATGCTGGCTATGGAAGGGTTCTCATCCAATCCGTGTCCCGCTGAGTGTCCGGTCGGGCCAGGCAGGGCCGGAACATGAGCTCATGGTCGGAACCGGCCTGAAGCCAGGCGCCCGGGCTTGCGACGAAATCTAGAGGGTATCTTGGATTGGACAAGTCTGACACGAATATAAGAATGTTGCAAAGTGTTCTAAATAAGGTTGACGTACAATGTCTTCAAGCGCTCAGGGCGCCTGCAAGGTTGCGCATAGGCTGTACTGTTACACACGCGTGCCTTGCGGCTGGCCTATACTGGCAGGCGCTCCGAGCGTCCACTGGTAGAACTCAAGCGTACTTTTACGCCTTTCTTCAAGCGTGGTAGAACTACGCCCGGCTTCAAGCCTAGTTCTCCATTTCGCCCCTCTCCTGCCTATTTAAATGCTTGGGAGGATTTCTTCTCTACGCTTGACGTCAAGCCTAAAGTCGTCAAGCGTGCATACAACTACGCTCCAGTTTTACCAGTGTCGGCAAGGCTGCATCACTGACGCCCCCTCCCCCGATTGTGAACAGTTTACAGTGGCATTGGTGGTATCTTCCTATTTTTATCTAACTTTAAGCGACTCACTCAACATTGGCGACGCGACACACAAAGCGCCGTGGTCGAAGGCCCTCCTTTTCAGTGCATTCACTGCACAGTAAAATGTCTACGAAGAACCGCCTTGTTATACGAAGAAAATGAAGGCATTGTAAAATCTACGAAGAAATGCTTCGTATTATGAAGCAAAATCCTTCGTAATACGAAGCATTTCTTCATAATACGAAGCAATTCTACAATGCATTCATTCTCTTTGTAGTTATGAAGCAAATGCTTCGTAGGCTTTTAAGAGTGTGCAAACATTTCAACCTTTCCAGACGCGACCCCAGACGCGAAGCAGAAGCTGACGATGAAGCAGATAACAGCGCAGGTCTTCGTCTTCTTCGTGGCCGGCTACGAGACCACTTCCACGACCACGTCCTTCACCCTGTACGAGCTGGCCAAGCACCCGGACATCCAGAAGAAGCTCATCGAGGAGGTCGACGGCGTCATGGCCAAACACAACGGGCAGCCCACCTACGACGCCATCATGGAGATGCCCTACATGGAGATGGTCATCCAAGGTACGAGCTCGGACGAACCAAGACATTTTGCCACACGGAAAAAAGAAAGAATTTGCTACTGTGGCAACGAAAATGTATGTTGATTTTGGGATAGCAAAAAAAAAAAGTTGTCAGGCGTACTATCAATTTGTTGTGAGAACGAACACTTTGCTCTCACGACAAGTAATTCATCAGGAGTACAAATATTCATTTTTATGATATTTAGTACTCCTGACGATATCGTTCGTTCAACAAATTGATAGTACGCCTAACAACCTTCTTTTTTTCTAGCTATCCCAAAATCAACATTCATTTTCGTTGTCATAACAAGTTCTTTTTTTACGTGTTGAACCGAACGTGTGACACCACCAATGGATTGCCCTCCGAACGACGAATCCATTGGTGGGGTCACACGTTCGGTTCGGGTTCTGTCAAGCGACTCTGGAGCTCGAAACGCGTCTGGAGGTAGGGCTTGGGCCGCCCGCACTCTAAATGTTGTACAGTGAAGATTCTCCACATTGTGGTGAAAATGTTCCATATTATGGTGGTGCAGCTGACTTTATAACATACAAGAATTCACTATATCTCAAAGATATTTTGACGAATTTTGTTTTATATTATGGAGAAAATGGCCACCTTAATATGGTGGTGCAGCCTTTCACCGCAAGACTCTGCACACTCAACATCTTATGATCGTTTTTATACGTGATACGATGGTTTTTCATCGTGAGGTACGCATAAATTTGCACATACGTAATATGCTTGATTTTTCATCGTGTTACGCATGAATTTCATCGTATTGCTCATGAATTTCATCGTATTACGCATGAATTGTATTGTAGTACGTATGTTCTCATTTCAACGCATGTTACGATGGCCCTTTCATCATAAAAATCCGAGGGTGTGGCCCACTGTGAGACGCCCTTTTGTGCCCCTGCAGAGACCATGCGGATGTACCCGCCCGTGCCGTTCCTGACCCGCGAGGCCAACGTGAAGCGCACGCTGCCGCTCACGGACCTCACGCTGGAGAAGGGGACGACCCTCATGATCCCCGTCATCGGGCTGCACCACGACCCGCAGTACTGGGAGGAGCCGGACCGCTACAACCCTCTGCGCTTCACCGAGGAGGCCAAGAAGGCTAGGCCCAACATGGTGTACATCCCCTTCGGGGACGGCCCTCGCATCTGCATAGGTAAAGCACACTCCGCAAAGTGTGTACACACTCCTTTACAGCATGCTTCCAAGCACACTTTTATGTAGAGAATGCTTATCCTAGCACACTTTAAAATAGAGTGTGCCTGGCGACACGCAAAGTAAGAGTCTGCCTGTACCTGCAAGTACGCTTAAACTGGCCTTTACTTTTGGATAGGACCAATCGAGTATATTTTAGCGTGTACAAGCCAGGCACACTCTATTTTAGCGTATGCTGGGAAGTATACTGTAAACAAGAGCGTGCTTGGAAGCATGCTGTTTGTAAGAGTGCACTACAGGGTGAGTTTTCTCAATGTGTCAATAATTTGTAGGTAGTTTGGGCACCCCAAGGCGATCATTTTCTACCAATGAACTAGTGGGCGCAAACGTCTAAGTACGGAGATAATTGGTGTTTTGTAATTGGCCTTCGCGCCTGCGAGGTAGGCGACGCAGGTCAGCATCTGGTGCGGCACAGCAGGCATACGGTAGGGACCCTCCCGTCAGAGATGCGCAAGCCAGCGTTTGGTAGTCCCGTGGAGTCAAAGGCACCCTGAGTCAGGCTAGCGGGCGACCGCCGTATGCTAGAGACCCTCCCGTCAGAGATGCGCAAGGGGGGGCCCTCTCAGCCAATCACAGACGACTGGTAGTCCCATGCGGAGCGGGAAGCCCGAATTCGCCCCGGGCGAGGTCACGCCGCAGGTATACGGCGGTCGCCCGCTAGCCTGACTCGGGGTGCCTTTGACTACACGGGACTACCAAGCGCTTGCTTGCGCATCTCTGACGGGAGGGTCTCTACCGTATGCCTGCTGTGCCGCACCAGATGCTGACCTGCGTAGCCTCGCGCGGGGCGAATTCGGGCTTCCCGCTCCGCATGGGACTACCAGTCGTCTGTGATTGGCTGAGAGGGCCCCCCTTTGCGCATCTCTGACGGGAGGGTCTCTATCGCAGGACCCCGCGTGGGGGTGTCGCGGGTCTAGGAGGGGTGCTTCGAGTCTCGTAGGGGTGCGGCGGACCTTGCAAATGTCTTTTGGGAGGGGTTGCCGCGGGTCTGAAGAGGCTGTCATGGTGGCCCCCGTTACAGTGGATCTCACGGCTGTCTTTGCGAGGGTGGCGGGATTCCTCAGATACTTCCGCGAGGTCAGTGGCACTCCCGCGAGTACTGCTAGTCCCGCGACACCCCCTCGACAGGTCCTGCCGCCCTCAGTGGCACCGGGTGCCTACCTCGTAGGCGCAAAATCCAATTACAAAACACCAATTATCTCCGTACCTAGCCCTGTAACGGCCAGACTACTCCCCACCGACTAAAACTACTGTTTAGGGTGTTTTTCTTCTTATTGAGGTCCTTGACAAAGCAAAATGCCCGTCCATTCAAGAATCGGATAACAAACAACGAAGTTAAAATTGTAACCATATGGTTACGTTGGTAGTCCCCGGTGCGGTCCATAAAAACTTTGCATTGCTTTGTAGGGGATACCTCTGGTGTCGGAAAAAAAATTTGTTGGGAGAATGATAGAACAGAACAAGAAGAAGCCGTAGGAACACTTTGGAAGTCAAAACTTGAATTGCATTACCCGCAATATCAGTTTTAATCGACTGTGACCATATGGTCACCTTGGCCGTCCCGGGACCGGCCATTTTTGTAAAAATACAAGTACGTGTTTTTTTACATATCAGCCCACCCTGACACCATTGACGACGAAAACACGGGTTGTAACCATATGGTCACATTGGCCGTTGCAGGGCTAGACGTTTGCGCCCACTAGTTCATTGGCGAAAAATGGTCCCCTAGGGATGCCCAAACTGCCTTCAAATTATTGACACATTGAGGAAACTCACCCTGTATGTACACACTTAATTGCAGAGTACGGTCGGCTCTTGAATTTTTTTCCACAGATGGTCTGGTCTGGAAGCCGTGCCTCGCACTAAATTATTATGTACTTTTTCGTGCCTGAGCTTCGCAGAAAACAGAGCATGCGTTTTGAAATGCACGAATTTGTGCGTGGCTAAGGCCGAAAGTGTGCGTTGTTTCGCTTGCGCTTAAAACTCGTGCATATCGAAACGCATACTTAAATTTGTGCAAAGCTTATGCACAAAAGAGTACACGGAAGTCTTTACGTGTCTGCACCCTCAGACAGCTTTGTATTACTAGAGAAAATTTTTACTTTAAAATTGCACCGTGTTCTCCTATAATACCAAAGAAATCTTCGTAATACGAACTTAAGGGGGCAATACACTGAAAACGGCCAAAAACTGACTTGTGCGATTGCTTCCATACGCGTTGTTGAGCGTTGTTCAATCTTTTCAAGTTTCAAGACCTTACAAATTGAAGCATTTTAAGCCCAGAATGGCGTCGATCGTACGTCAGGGAGCGGAGCAGCGCCCAATCAAATTTTCGTCAGAAATCGAACTGGCGGGCGTCCCTCAGTCCGCAAAAATGAAGATATCTCGACCCCGTTTGCGCCAAAATGTAGGTGATTAAAGCGGCTATAGCGCAAACTAGGATTACGAACATCGAACAATCAAAAGTACAAAATTTTACGAAAAAACCTGTTTTGATCATTTTTTTAAAATCCTCAAAAAGTGTTTTTGGATGAAATTTTGTACTTTCGGTTGCTCGATGTTCATAAACCTAGTTTGCGCTATAGCCGCTTCATTTAACTTCATTTTGGCGCAAACGGGGTCGAGATATCTTCATTTTTGCGGACTGACGGACGCCCACCAGTTCGACTTTTGACGAAAATTTGATTGGGCGCTGCTCCGCTCCCTGACGTCCGATCGATGCCATTCTGGGCTTAAAATGCTTCTTTTTGTAAGGTCTTGACACATGAAAAGTTTGAACAACGCTCAACAACGCATATGGAAGCAATCGCACAAGTCAGTTTTTGGCCATTTTCAGTGTATTGCCCCCTTAAGTTCTTTTGTGTATGTTACGCCTCAAAATTACGGAGATTTAGCTTCTGGTGAACTGAACCAACGTATATATCATTGATAATAGTCAGTGTAAACATTTCGACGCCTCCTAATAGAAAAATCCTAACTGTCAGTGCTGATCCAAAACAATCCTAACTGCTCCGAGGTTTCAGAGGAGGCTCTCTTTAGTCCAAAGCAGCGAATCATGATATCACTGAAATAGAGCCTCCACGTTTAAATGCAAGGTTTATACTTTTTAACAAGTCCATTGCCAAGAAATTTGAAGCAGCATGTTGGCGTCACAGAATTTTATAATAAGCAGCGTTTTACGTCGTACAATCTGCGCTGAAGGTTAAGATTGTCTTGGATCAGCACTGACAGTTAGGATTATTCTATTAGGAGGCGCCGATTTCACTTTTATACTGATACGCTCGTGTTTTTCCCGCAGGTATGCGCATGGCGCTGGTGCAGGTGAAGATAGCCCTGTCCACCATCCTGAGCAAGGCCACGGTGACGCTGGCCCCCGGCATGCCCAGCACGCCCAGGATGTCCCCTCGCACTGTAGTGCCCACCCCCATCGACGGCATCAGGCTCACCCTCACGCCGCGCAACTGAGCCGGTTCCTCACACTCTCAGACTCGCTACGCAGTAAAAACTCTACGAAGAGTCGTTTCGTAATACGAAGAAAATGAAGGCATTGTAAAATTTACGAAGAAATGCTTCGTACTATGAAGCAAAATCCTTCGTAATACCAAGCATTTCTTCATAATACGAAGAAATCCTACAATGCCTTCATTTTCTTTGTAGTTATGAAGCAAATGCTTCGTAGGCTTTTAAGAGAGTACACGATAAAATGTTTTTTGCACACATTTTGTACGAGACATCAGTTTTTGGTGCACATGGGCTTTTCTTACAAATACTTACGCGACTTAGCACAAAGGGGAAATAAATACAGTTTTTCGTGCTAAATTTGTGCGAAAAATTCGTGTGCACGAAAAACTGCGATGTGTCGTACAAAATTGTACATAATATTTAGTGTGTACACATGGTGTACATTAGTATACATGATATTGACATTTTGTCGACAACACTGTGCAATAGTAATGAGTACTTTTCGCTATTGTTATTATTATTATCTGCATTTTTGTTAGTACTTATTTATGATGAAAGCTACAAAATGATTTTATGAAGTAAATTGCATGTATAGTACCTAAGAAGAAAATACCACCTATTATTGTTGGAGGCTATAGTACCTGGTTACTGACGATAAAGTCAAGAAGAGGCTGAGGATGCACACTTCCGTCATCCGAAGGTCGTCTGAAGACCATCCCCTCGAAATCGTTCAGACCTCGTTCAAATAATTGCATAAATTGTTGAGTTTAATAGTTGTTGCGAAGAAAAGGCTAATTAGTAGTGCACTAGAGTGCAAACCATATCAATATTAAGACTGTGATATATCAGTAGTGTGCAAGTGCAAGGTCCCTCAGACCAACCCATTACTCGTTAGGTTACACATGAATCTGGCGACGTACCTGAAAGGCTATCTAAATGCAGCTTGTTTGGGATTCTCTGTAGATACATGTTACGAGTTTTTTAAATACACAAAATGTTTAAAATCAACAATAATTTGTGTGACTTTGATGCATCATAAACCTATTACGAAACCCACTTAATCTAAGAGCACTTCGAAGTTTACAGTGGAACCACAATGCTGAAAGTTAACAAGTTACTCCAGTCTCCTCTCTCAATCGCTGAATGTTATAAACAATTTTGTACGAGTTGTCAGTTTTTGGTTCAAATGACGAAAATATGCACATATTGTCTGTTTACGGGCGAACTCGGTTACAAAATCATCACATGAGTGAGCATGTTACCATTCTCTTTTACAAACTTCATTATCAATTTGGTCTGGGCAAATCTATTAAACTATTCGTAACGAAATTGTTCAGTGCACAAACTTCAATGAATAGTAGTACAAGGCAGGTGTACGACACACCGTGTCTTGTCGTAGACTTCGGGGTGCTGCGACAGTTCCGACTATTCGTACAAAAAACTGCACATATTTCCCTGTTCTAGGGCAAACTCGAGTACAAATTTGAACGGGAAGTTCACCTGTACAAGAAAAAACTATAAAGTCTTTACACAAATTTCGTAGAACACGATCTAATAACGTGCAGAGAACGTCTTTTTGGGGTGTACCAGAAAGCCAAGAGATGGTGATCCCATGAAACGAAGGAATAAAAGAAATTCCTCGCGAACTATTAACGCTTCCTGGAGATCTGTGAGGGTAAGGGCAAACCCAAGGACAGCTATTACGGAAAGGCGCACGCAGGAACTGTCATCTAGGGATGTGCGAATAGTTCGGTATCGAATCAGGCAAGATTCGATCCGATCCGAGGTCGGATTTGCACACTTCTATTTGGGGTGGTTCGCCGAGATGTGGGAATTTGAGGCACGAGATTTCTAAGATTTTAATGTGCGGCTTTTCGGATGAAATTTTGCAGGCTCATTCAAGATGGCTCTTGAATGGTCCCCAAAAAATATCAAAGCTTAATTCGTTCCAGTTTTGTTTCAAATGGCTTAAATGTTGAAAGCGTACTTTTGGTCGACGTTTGTTACACGCGCGTCGACGTTTGTTACATTTGCGTCGACGTTTGTTACACGCGCGTCGACGTTCGTTACATTCAAGTGGTTTGGGTGGAATTTCAAAGTGGACAAAACTGACATCTATTTAAAGAAATCGATTCGTCTGATCAGGACAAACAAAAAATCCTAACATATGTAATAGGCTTGGATGCGAAATAAACAAGTATTTAAGCTTCAAAAATGCAGTAACAGGCGTCGACGCCGGGGTCCTGGCTGATTACATCCGATTACGTCATTACACTTTGTAAAAACCATCTATTTCGCAAGGAAATACCAAATTTGCTTGTACGTAACAGACGCTGTATGATGTAAATAGGTCAAATGAAGCGGCAAACATGACGTTGTCCCAGTATTTGAAAATGTTTATCCGGGGGAGGTCGAAATTACGCGTTGGCGATTACAGGTTTATCATTGCGAGTTACGGCAAAGCGACCTATTATCCTTGTTTTGAACCTACCATACTCCTGTAGAAGTATTTCCACCGTTGCAGTTTTGTTTAACATCAATTTCGAAGCCGAATAGGGTTGGCGCTTGGTTCGGTGCAGGCACAAAACACGCTTAGAACCGCGAAATACAAATGCCTGTAGCAAGTGACGCAATTTGCGGACAAAACTTTTCTTCCACTTTACGAATGAACGAATCGACTCAAGGTTTCGGGACTTAGGTTAAAATGTAGATTAAAGTGTCCACTCTCGAAAACACACAAAACTTTGGGTGTTTTAAGGGGAGGTTCTGGTGAAAATGCTATTTTCTCCTAAATAAGTCCCACTGTGAAAATTTGTTAAAAATTTGATGTCTTATCAAGTATTTATTAAAATTTTTCATTGGGGAGGCACATTTTATGCCCTGAATCACTGTTAAAAAAATTTAATTACATTTTCATTACATGGTAGTGAAGCTATAATCATTACAATGTAATGAAAAATTTCATTACACATATGTTATTAAAATTTTCATTACAGTGTAATGAACGAATGTAATGAAAACTTTAATGACAAAAACGTAATGGAAATGATCAAAGTTGACGCAAATTACGCAACTTTTTGTCACGATTTGACATAGAGTGAATTCTCAACGACTCTGACAGCAGAGAAGAGGTAAAAATTGAGTGACCCAGGACAACTCAGGTCTGAGGCAGTTTAGTTGCCTGAGTGAGAGAGATCGGGTGCTGACCCTACCAAACGGCAGGCCGTAGCCGCCTCCGAGCAACATCAGACAAACCTATTTGTTCACTTCAAATATCGCTCTATTCCTCTAAACTCTTCGCCATTAGTTTAACAATCCAGCACTTCGCATGAATCACGGATACATTTCAGAATATCTCCTCACGTTTTAATATTTTAATACGAAATACAGAGTTGAGAGTGATCCCCGTTTACCATGCGACACCTAGCGGCAGACTTGCGAATGACGGGTTTGGCATATGACGCCGTAATGGACGACTGTAGGAGAAAAATTGATGTTGGCGGCCAATAGAAGGCTAAATTAGTTTGAGTAAGCTGAACTTAGATCCTGGACAAATCCGAAAAAAATCAGTCATGCTTAAATATTTTTGAAAAATTTGATGACATGTAATGAAAATTTCATGACAAGGTGCATAATGTAATGAAACTTTCATTACATGACTAATGTCATTAAACTTTATGACCGAGGTAATGAAATTTTCATTACAATGTAATGAATGTGGAGATGTAATTAAAAATAATGACGTTTAATGAAAAATAATGTCACAAATGTCATTAAATTTCATTCATTTTTAACAGTGATCCAGTCGCAGAGCCTTTTTCTCCCATTTAGGCTTTAACTTTAAAAATCTTCTTGCGCATACTATTTTGTCGTAAAAGGTTGGCTAAGACATTTTTCACTTCTTCGATTCATTTTTTAAAAATGCCGGCATGCCCATCTCAAAATGTCAATTGCATTTTTATTCGCAAGCTTTCTAACCAAGCATTTCACTTAATTTGATCAAAAATGTACAAAATAGACAAATTTTAGGGACTTTTCAGCTTAAAAAGCTAATAATTAATAAAATAATGGAAGTTTTGAGCTATGCATGCCGGAATTTTTTGAAAATGAGTCGAAGAAGTGAAAAATGTCAAGGTCAACCTTTTACGACAAAATAGTATGCGCAAGGAGATTTTTTAAGATACAGCCAAAATAGGCTCAAAAAGACTCTTCGACTGGGTTTACAGCCTGGCATGTGCCTTCCAATGTCAAATTTTAGTCTCCCCAATGAAAAATTTTATATTCCGAACAAATTATGACTGTAGGACCCATTTGGAAAATGGCAAGATTTTCACCAGAACCTCCCCTTAACGGCGTTATAAGGAGTTAGACTTCACATTGTGTTGCAATCGGGGATTTGGACACCGACAAAACGGCCATTTTTGTACCTTTCCGGCGTTATGTGTGGTACAGGAAGTCAAAAATTTTGACTGAAAACATGTACATGCCTTTCTCTGAAGGTGTTTTGTTGTTACATAAGGGGTATATGCTGATAGGAAGTCCGCGCAAGTGGTAATTGAGCTAAACATCTTTGATTTTAAAATTTCCACATTTTGACGAACCAACCCATTTCAA